TAACACTTCGAGAATTAAGCAACGGCTTGTATAACTCATACAGTTCCTGGTATTTAATGATCTCTGATGGTCAAGTACAAAACTTTAATTCATCTCTTGAATACGATTTCAATAAATTCGAATATAACTCATAACTTTTTTTTATTTCGTCAATGACATCAGTTTTTTTTTTGAAAAATACTTCATAAAATCAATTAGATTTATAATTTGTGAAACAATGAAAACAAAATTATATATTTATTTCTATACCAATATAGAAACTTTTTCTTACAATAAATAAGAAAAAAACATATACTGATGACAAATTTAAATTTAACGAACAGTTCGGACAGCGAACAAATCGGACAACGAACACTTTTTGAAAAATAGAGACATATTCGGATAACGAACACCTTAACGACCATTTCACTTAAGCTGCTTCTTCAATCGCTAATCGGTTAACGAACAATTTGGGTACTGAGTAAGGAATTGTGTTCGTTAACCGATTCTAAAAATGAATACCGAATAAATAAATTAAAAAAAAATATATTGGTTTCTTCTATTATATGATGTAAATAGGTTTATTTTTGAAAAATTTCCTACAAAAATATCTGAAAATTTCAGTATAATAGAGTTTGTATAATAAATCTTTGAAGACCGATAATTACAGAATTTAACGTGTACTACATGTAACACAGTACTAATTCTGAATCTTCAAATTTAATTAATGGTTTACATGATTTTCTGAAATTTCTTACGTTCATTCAAGTTTTGCTTTGTAAATCTATATTCGGAAAACGAACAATTCGTGAATCGAATGGTTTTTAAATTGATTCTGTTCGTTAACCGATTCTATAAATTTTGAAACTGAAAAAATTAATACCTAACAAACAAATTTAAAAAAATATAGGTCTCTCTGATAATATGTTGTAAATAGTATTATTTTTGAAAAGTTTCCTGAAAATTACAGTATAATGGAGTTTGTATAATAAATCTTGAAGGACAAATAATTACAGAATGTAACGCGATCAGCTTTTGAAATTGATTTTCGGATAACAAACAATTGGTGAAGCAAATATTGTTTTTGAGTAGATTGTGTTCGTTAACCGAATTTATACATTTTAAAACTGAAAAAATTAATACCTAACAAAAAATTTAAAACAAAAATACAGGTCTCTCCTATAATATGTTGTAAATAGATTATATTTTTCTGAAATATCCTATATGAATTCAAGTTTTGCTTTTTAAAACGATGTTCGGATAACGAACAAACCATGTCTTTGGACGAATTGTGATTCTACCAATTTTGACACTGAAAAAATTAATAATTAATAAATAAATTTAAAAAAATAGGTGTCTCCTATAATATGTTGCAAATAGTTTTATTTTTGAAAAGTTTCCTGAAAATTACAGTATCATGGAGTATATATAATAAATCTTGGAGAACAAATAATTACAGAATGTAATAAGATTTGCTTTTGAAATTGATTTTCGGATAACGAACAATTCGTGAAGCGAATATTGTTTTTGAGTAGATTGTGTTCGTTAACCGATTTTATACATTTTAAAACTGAAAAAATTAATACCTAACAAAAAATTTAAAACAAAAATATAGGTCTCTCCTATAATATGTTGTAAATAGATTTATTTTTCGAAAATTTCTTGAAAATTCTGAAAATTACAGTAAAATCTTTGACGACCTATAATTACAGAATTTAACCTGTTAATACACATTACTAATTATGTATCTTCAAATTTAATTACTGGTGTACTTAATTTTTCTGAAATATCCTATATGAATTCAAGTTTTGCTTTTTAAAACGATGTTCGGATAACGAACAAACCATGTCTTTGGACGAATTGTGTTCGTTAACCGATTCTACTAATTTTGACATTGAAAAAATGATAAATAATTTTTTAAAAAATATAAGTTTTTTTTATAATATGCTGTAAGTTTCCTGAAAATTACAGTAAAATCTTTAGAGACCTATAATTACAGAATTTAACGTGTTAATACATATTACTAATTCTGTATCTTCAAATTAAATTAATGGTTTACATAATTTTCTGAAATATCGTACATTAATTCAAGTTCTCATAAAATCCGAACAGACGGCTCATCAAAACCAGATCAGATTTGTAAAATTGATCAAAATCTGAATATTAAACAGGACGACTGTATAAATTATAACCGAATCTTTTATTTCATTCATTTTTTTATATACACTTCACTTGGAATTGACTAGAAACATAAAAATAATCCGAAATAAAAAGAGGATAATCCGGAGATCGAAGGAGATTTTGACACGTTATAGCCTGCGGCAATTAAACCTCAAGAATCCCACCCCGATGATCGGATACGAGTTGATTCACAAATAAAATTCAAAGAAACGGATAAAAAAATTATATGAAGAAGTGAAAATAATGCAGAAAAAAATGTTACCAATAAATTATGTAATTCGAATAAATTAACTGAACGATAAATTAGAGCGTATATTAAACAATGTGTAAATAAATAACCGCACGCTTTGATTTATATCGCATAACATTTAAATTACAAATTACGTGGAAATTGATGATAGATCTATTAAAATACTTAAACGATTCAATCATTGTTAATAAGAATTTTTTTCTGATTCAATTTCTTAAAAAAAAATCATAATAATTCTCTGCTTTTTATGTACAAACTAATTTTAATATATTAGATTTCTTCATTTACAAAATTTTATAGAAATTAATTTAATAAGTTATTATTTCTGTGAAGAACTATAAAACTAATTTCTATAGAAATAAATGTATCAATTTGTTGCAAAATTTCGATTTGTGATTCACTTTTACTCACTTTCAATTATTCAAATTATTACAAAATAATTAGAGCATTCAAATCAGTAATATGACTAAGTTAAATGTACAGGAAAACCTGTTTTTGTGCACAAAATCGCACTTAGGAAATACGTCAAAGATGTAGGAAATACATGAGAAAGTGGATCCAAACTAAATAAATAATTAAATTACAAATGGAATTTCTCATTGTACATATGAGGAAATTTTTAAAATGCACATATATAATTCACTGCTACTCGTGTTAATCCAAAACGCGCATCTTCTTGTGATGAATTGGTTCAAAATCGACATACAGATTCGTATGAGTAGGCTGTACATCTGCACACTAATAGAAAACATTACAATGGTGCTAACGCCGTTGTAAATGGTTGGATTTCATCAACCGCATAAAAAAATAGCACAAAAATAAAATTGCATATAAAAGAACCGCACAAAAACAGGTTCTACTATATACTTATTTAGAACATTTACTCTACTTTGAAGATCTAAAAGAAAGTCATATTTTAAATTTTGTTATATAATCACTGTCTCATCATTGAACTTCCGTTGATTTTATAGCAAATTTTGAAAATTATCGATTTAGAAATTTTAATTAAATTAGATTACTTTCACTGTGATAATTATCGAATTTTATTACATTAAATATTGTACATACTATACATATATTTCTTTCAAATAAATTATTGTATTTAGTTTAATTGAAGTTCTAGTAATTATAAAGTATCTTTTAGATAAATGTTTTCGGGAAGATGAAAATACCGCAAAGATAAAAAATTGCAGGTATTTCAAAAATATATTCAAAACGTATGAAATATATTCAAAACCAAATGATGAAAATTCCGAACTTAATAAGACTTAATTTATTAAAAATGTAGCAAAGACAATATTACATCAAATTTAATTTTTATTTATAGTAAAATTAGCAAAGACAAAATATATTTTTCATTTAAAATGACTACATTATTTCTTATAATCAGTTTTCTTCTTTCATTTATTATATTAAAAATTGCCTTGTTTTCATATGCAATATAATTATAATGTATCCATCAGATAAATAATTACTAAATGATGAAAATTCCAAATTTAATAAGACTGAACTAACAAAAAGTACATCAAATATAATTGTTATTAATTTAATAAAAAATAGCAAAGACAAAATTTTTGATTGAAAATTACTATATTATATCTTATATTCAAATTCAAATCTTCTTACAATTACATTAAAAAAAAATATATAATTTTAAGGAATCAATCAGAATATTTAGTAAATAATGAAGATACAGAATTTAATAAAATATGTAAGGAACAATAATGTAATAAAATAAATACAAAATCTTAATGAATTTCAATTATTAGATCAAGAAATTAAATAGTAAATTGGTGAATTCAATATAAAAACATATTGAAACTGAAATAAATTAATTATGATAAGAAAAGCCAGAACGGCCAAAGCAGAAATGGAAGAATATAATAATGATCATAGTTTATTGTCAAATAAATATTTTTTCTTACATTTATTTCATTTATTGTCTAACATATACATTTAATAACAAACCACAACAAATCACAAGAAATATGTAAGTATATAGATTATATACAATATATAAAAACTACTAATTATATAAGAAATCAAAGGCAATACATTCTAACTAAATAATTTGATTAGTATCAAGTTAAGATTAAATTTCAATGTATGTAATTTCTTATTAGGTTTCTATTTTACTCTGGTATTAAAGTAATTATATTTAATGACAGAAAATGTTACTAATTATATCAATATTTTATGCAACAATTGCTTAAATAAACATAAACAATATGATTGATTGAACCGGTTTTCAATTTAGATTTTTCGTTTCAAATAATTTAAATTTCATACTAAATATTTGTATATACTTTTAAATATTAATAAAACTATATGATTAATAAAGTATTGTGATGTTTCAACGATTAATTTTTTATATTAGGAGATAATGTGTAGTAAAAAATATATATAAATAAATTTTAACAGCGTTTAATGTTCGGGTTAGAAATGTCAATTGCTACGTCCTAATGTGTGTGTATTTCAATTAAACTTTCAGTGTTAATTGCCGACTTTATGTGTTTGGAAAGGTTTTGAGAAAGGTAAATACTAGAAATATATATTAAATGATTGTAGGATTGAATGTATGCACGTGTACCTTGAAAGGGGTATCCACCAAAAATTGGTCTCATATCCATGTCGGGCGTCCTAGGATCCGAAGAACTGATGAAACGCGAATTTCGCGGTACCACGCGCGCCCGATGACAATGAGGATAAGCTAGTGGTAGCGAAACATGGGAGCACTTAGGTGCACACTGGATGTACAAAGCATAACAAAACGCCGATGAGGAGAGCGAGAACGGCCGCAGCAGAGATGGAAGAGAGCAAACAAAAATATATATGTATATAAATGTATGTGTATATGTGTGTATTATTATTATTACTGGTCTCCGTCCTCTACATTTCTCCTCTTCTATTTTTCCTTCCTCCTCTCATTTTTATTTTATTTTTTTCTTTTTTTTTTGCATCTGGTTACGAATTAAGCAAAAGGCTTACCATTGGTGGAAAGTCCTCTCATATGTGTCTATACAATGTGGGGCCCCCCAAAAAAGAAACAAGTTTTGAGTAGACCGTACCTGGAAATGGGAATATCTCTCCTCCCCTCTATACCAGAGTTCCCAGAGCAGCTGCACGCGATCAACTATCGTTACTTCCACTCTTGCTTGTATTTACTGTTAAAACCATTTATATGGGAGGGACTTGGGTACATTGGGTCATACCAGACTTGCAACATGCATGGGTGTCGACCAATGCAGCACATGCCTCGCCGCGCTCTTTACTTCCTTCGGATCACCGCACGACTTCGCGAATAGAGGAGAGTCACACACACTCAAACACACAAACATATAATAATAATAACCATCGCCCAGATAAAACCAAGGACTACACCTTCCGAAAACGCAGATCAAACAAAAATAACACGAATTCCGCGGCGTCCACCCGGAATAATCCATTGTGACCACAATATTAGTCTCACCATCCGACCAATTCCTACTTCCTTCACCCACGACGGCAACAAAAACAAAAAAAGACCAGAAACGAGACGAATAACGACACAAAATACATCTGAAACAAATGCCGCCTTCGTTGATATACTTTTTTTTTGTTTATATTTGAAAATCAAATTAAACTATTGCCACTTTCATAGGTAAATATCGGTGTCTTCCAGGTGGTCTCTCCGAAAGCACGACGGCAAAAAGGCCCTAAACAGATGACTTCACTTATTGGATTGGTCACGGGGCCCGGAACTCCACGCTTTTTACTTTTTCTCACTAAACGACGCCGAATTCATTGGAATGGAGAGAGAGCAAGAAAAAAAAACGTACCCGGATTTTACACTCTTGAATGGAAACCACCCTGACCCCAAATATGAACGGTGCTCATTCACCGGTAGGGCTTAACCCAATATTGTGATTTATGTGCGTAACAATACTTAATTTCTATACTAAAACAATGATTTTCCATGAAATTATTACCAAACATTTAAAAAACAATAATTTATAGATATAATATAAATTAGTTAAAATTACTTTGAGGGTGATAAAGTAACAATAGTTTTCACGACACATATGATTTCATTTTTTTACTAGTTTAAAAGCAATTAATTAATTATAATAACACAAATATTATCAAAAATAACAAACCAATAAAATTTAATATATCAAATATATTTGATTTCAGAATTACTTCTAAGTTATTTTTTTTATAGAAATGTTATATAAACTTAAAATTTCAACAAATATAAAGCATCTATTATAAATTATTTGTTGATGTGTACAATTATATGTGAAAGCAAATATTTGACAACTAACTAAAGTTAAGCAATAAATGGTGATTGATACACAAATAGTATAATGGTCTATAACCACTTAAGAAATTCGTTAAAGAAATAAAGTTTTACATATGTTACTACTACGATAAATGACTAAGTATAATTGTAGGTTGGCTGTCGTCTTGTAGGTCAACTTCAGTAGTATATTGATGCTCTGCGATTCCACTTTGACTGTGAATCTGCTGATATCCTTAACACTGTCATTGTCCATCGACTTGGCTGAAGGTCCATATGCTGAACCTCATTGATTTCCTATTGCTGCAAGCACCGAAAGGGCTCACGAAGGGCCTGGCTTGACCAGGATTTGAACTCCACTAGCACGTGGGTAGGGCGACTTAACCATTCGGCTGTTAGTCGCCATTATAATGAAACATATCAATATTTTTTATATAATTCGAATATACATTGACTAAATAATTAAATACATGAATCTAGTAAGAGTTATTGTTTAGTTACATAATTATTTATTTCGTTATTAACTAAAGTTTTACAGGATAAAATTATTTCAAGAATTGCGGTCAATTGCCTTTTGTATGTATACAATTTATCATTATTATTTAAATAAAATAATGCAAATATCTCATATATTATATTGATTAAAATATTGATATAAATAAGTTAATATTGTTACAAGTTGTGAAATAGAATAATAATATATATTATCATTTTCAATAAGCTGTAAATAATTTACGATTGAAATTTATGTTTTAAATTATAGAGATTATAACTCAAAATGTATCATGTGATTGATATATTATAAACTGATAATGTAATGTATATCATTTCTATACAATCAATATTTTTATATTACGAAACAGGTTACACTAGATAACGTGTCACCAAAGGTTGTTGTCACGAAAAACAATAAACAACGAAGGCTTAAGTAAATATTGCGTTTATAATTTCAAAAGGTACGTCAAATATTTTCGAAGATTTTTTGCTTGGATTATTATTATAAATATATATTTATTTATTTTTTTGCGGGCGACGATAGATGCAAAAACATCGCGGATTTATCTGCGCCTGATTGTTTGGCGGTTAATTCGCGCCGGCCCCGAAGAGTTAAGGTGTCCGGGTATTTTAATATACACATAACTCACGGATATATCACAATGGAGTGTACGTACTATAAAATAGGATTACGCGGATAACGCGTAAAGAGCAGTCAGCTAGTCAGTGCATTTCAATGGGCCAGACGAAATAATAAACAACGACGTTACGTAATTCACGCGTGGTGGAGGTGGAGAAGGAGAGCCACACACGTGTAAGTAAGTTGGATTTTCAATATATTTCAAGAACAAATGGACCGACCGAGCGAGAGAACTGGTCGACTGGTCTTTGTGGATGAGGATGAGTTAGTTAAGGAAAAAGACTTGTCCTGAAAGGAATAAGGGCTCTCGCACAATTTCACAGACGGTTTCGTTCTTCGCGTTTTGGATTTGGGTTAAATGTCGCCAGGTTTAATCCAGCGGCTAATTGCAATTAGGACGAGGGTCCTGGGGCTCGGCTCAGCCTAATGGACTCGCATTCCGCGCGAAACAAAGCCCACCTCCTTAACACCCGAAATCCGGATCTGATCCTTCCTTGCTCAGTCTTCCCTTTTCCTTTTCTTTTCACATTACTATACCTAATTGATTTGAGATGTTGTCCGACGTCTATTTATCAACCGGTCACAAGTGGTATGATTTATCCAACCATACCTAACACCATTTAAATATACTCAATTTTCCATAATTATTCACATTCAAAATATTTAGTTCCGAATTTTTTAGCATACTTATGTTTGCATTTAAATAAATAAATTGATGAATAAAGCAATTGTAACAAGTAAAGTACAAAGAAATGATCTTAATTTACGCCGAAAAACCAAAAAAAAAACAACAAATAAAGTACAAATAAATTGTTTCAATTTTCGCCAAAGAAGTTTAACAACAAAAAAATTGTCTTAATTTACGGCAAAAAACAAAAAAGTTAAACAAGTAAAGTAGAGAGAAATTGTCTTAAAGTTCGCCAAAGAATCAAGAAGTTCAACAAGCGAATAAAAATATGTAAAATTACATTGTTTTGAACTATTATGTAATAGATATTCAATCATTTAAAGTAGACAATTTAAAAAAATATATTTTGAAATTTTAGCTTCTAATTATAGAAAATTGTAGTCAACTTGTGAAATATAATTACAAAGTAACAATTTCAAACCAAGAAATGAAATTAAATATAATGTGATCATTATTATATGATTTTGATGATAAACAAGCAAAATTAAATAAATTGGTTATTGTTGTTTAAAATGTATACAAAAATATGTTATGTAATATACTTAACTTGTAAATGAAATAAATACTGCAACTTTGAGTATAGTTCTTTTAATGAATTTGTATGGTGTTTTTCAAATTTAATATTGCTTTTTGATGAAGTTTTATCACTTAAAATTGTAATTTCTTATACTACTTTAAACGTCATTCAAAACAAAGTAAGAAAAAACAAATATTAAATTGGTTATAACATTTTCCCTAAGGATAAACGTTTAAGTCGATGTCCTTTTTCAACTAAACGAATTGTAAACTCCTGAAACAAATAATGGTTGACAATCGTCTTAAATTGATTCTTACAGCGCTTTCAACTTGTTTCGTTGTTGTTTTTTTACATTCATATACATATATATTCGACTCTCATGCAGCAGACACACTTGTGAACAAACAAGTGACCGAATCATCGTTGTGGGTCCCCCATTTTCATTATTCTCTCTCGGTTTTTACACGTTGCTCCGCCACAAAGTATCAATGTAATGATTGATTGTGATTGATATCGAGTACAAAGCATGCATACTTCATTAACTCACAATGAGCCTGTGTGCTTTGCCTTCCTCGGTCCGCCATTCAAATGCATTCACACGTACGCGTTTTCTTCCTGTGAAATCGTTTTCGAGACATTAAACGGTTCTCACTTTCATTTAATTATTTTTCTATCGAATCTGTCAATGCTAATTCAATAAAATTAATATACAAATAAAAAATCGACAAACCATTATTCATCCTTTAAATAAAACTATCTAAACAAAACACAGTAATATTTAAACATCATTTAAAATATCTATCTATTTTAATTAAAGCATTACCTCGCATAGTGCGGCTTCAATTAGTCCTGATTCACTTTAATTGTCTTCATTTGTTTAGTTGGGCAGTTTATTTTTATGCAATTCGGTTTCTGTTTCAAACAGTCCGTGATTTTGTCGCATCCTATTATCCGCACTATTCGAGGTATTTCTGTATATTTTGTTTTGTTTTATACACATTCATATAAAGA